AAACTGCACTGGGGCACATATTTTGAGAAAATTTCTACCTGCCACATTTTCAGCATATTTCAGTTAAAAATATGAGAGACAGAATTATTCTGATTTGTATAAAGCTTATCTGACAATAAAGATGTAGCTTTTGGAAGCTGGGTGTATTATACCAATACACTCCTCTGAATGTTGTAACTTGAACACCTCAATACTGAGGTGAATCCTACCAGATACATTTTCTGTCCAATTAAAATAGTATAAAGAAATGTATAATTCTAGGAAATCTTTAGTAAGTGAGCATCATACGTATGGATTAAAACTGTAAAGATAATTAGTTGACCCATACTCTTCAGAGAAGTCAGGAAGGCATTTTTGGCTGATTTATGTAGCTCCTGATATTCAGAAGTTCAGAAATCACAATCAACTGCTCCTACAGATATTTCCTCCTCTTTCTGTTTCCATAAAAGGTCTTCAATGACAATTCAGTTCCCTGAGCACCCTCTTCCTCTAAAAGGAAGGGGTGAAATGAATTGTGAAAGACACAATTTACATTTTTTATGCTATAAAAGCCGCTGTCAAACTGTGATAATAAAAATCCAGGCAACCAATGATTCTCAGAATTTTTATTCTCTGACAGTATACTGCTATACTTTGTTTAATATTTCACTCTGCATTTATTTGGAAGAAAATTTCAATCTAAGAGACCATGTTCAGGCACAAAAGTAAATATGCTTAAAAGCTAACGTGCCAAGACCCAAATTCTGACCCTCTAAAGACACTACTAGGGAGGAAATCCTATAATTAGTAACAAGAACATAACCGTGCAGTACTCAGCATCAGAGAAATAGGATATATATTTAACACTAAATGTTCACTTGTAAAATGATATTTTAGCAACATTTTAGTTATGCTTCAAATATGCCTACATATAATATTGTCATAATAGTTGTATATTTTCAATCACGTTTGATGTAAAACTTGTAAATTTGTTAGATTTGCCAAATCCTTTCTAGGAAATTTTTCAAAGTTTCTGAAACACTATATTAAAAGACAGCTAAAACTTCTCATTAAGAAAAAGTAATCTTTGTGGGAACTAAATTTAAACCTTCCATTTTAAAGCCCTAAGCATTTTCCACACAGGAACATTCTAAGTGCAAGTCTTAAGAGTTTCTAAAGCAATCAGCACAGGCAATGTTAAATTATCATGCCTCTCCAGACAAAGAGGAGCACTGCACAGAAGACCCTTACATTCGTGGCCCTGTGTATTCCCTGTGGGCTGTGCCAATCCACTCTCTCCCCTGTAATGATTCTTTGTTTTTACTAAGTCCCAAAGGGCTGGTGAAAGCTGGGCAAAGGGGAGGGGGAGGGGTGGGTGGAATGCAGCTGCAGGCTCTGAAACAATGCTGAGTCCATATATTTTGTTCCCAGTTAGAATAATAAAAAGTGTGTGGGGGTTGGAGGGGTCAAGGAGACAGAACCCGGAATAATCAAGGTAGGGGCAAGTATCCCAGTTGTCAGTTGGCAGCTTCCTCTCCACCCAGCCCTCCACCTTCCACTCTACCAAACCCAATAACCATTCATTTGGGTTAAAAGGCTTATCTGTTAAAATTCAAACACCCATTAGATTTAAACTTGTCAGTCATTTATATCCAAATTACTTTTATCAGTGAACTGTACTCTGGTGAGGATAGAGTAGGTAGAAAGAATGGAGCTTGCAAAAACTGGGGAAAGTGAGACAGAAAAGCTTGGAGGAAGTAGGTAGGAGAATTCAGAAAAGGATTACCAAGGTTTCAAATACAAATTGCCTGCCTTCCAATGGTTCCTAGGGCCTGGGGACAACTGGTATACCAGAGAAAACCATATTCCTTAAGACTGATAAAAGCTACATGTGTCTGCATGAATCAAGAGTTTGAAAGTCTGTACATGTTGGTTCCTCATTATTTAGTCTAACCTGGTGTTGCCTAAGAAAATCTTCTTCACTTGCATTGCCCTGGCCTCCACATTCCAACTGGGAGAGAGAATTAAGGGAAGCAGCAGACCCCAAAGTGACAGCTGCTAGTGAGGGAAAAGCAGCTCAAACCTTACTCTCCTCTCCTAGGTCTTGCTCTCTCCTCCCTGATAACTGTGAATGAAAAAGGGGCCACATATAAACCTGACAAGCTCAGGGGAGGCCTGCATGGTGGGCCTTATAAACTCTGAGACCTAAAGTAACCACATAGGATGTTCTGAAATTAAAACTTTCCATCTATAAGTAAGTCATGTTCAAGACCAGTACCTTTCTTGACAAAGGACAATCTTTACCTTAACTGAGCCTGTCTATTGTCTTTTTGCCTCTAGGATAACATACCTTTGGAATGTCTGGGTTAATTTCCTTTTTCCGGACCCCTCAGGGCACAATCTCCCACCAGAGCAGGAGACTACAGAGCCGCTCATTGTTATTATTATCATGTTAATTGTTAACATAGCCACCTATGTAAAAGATATGTCTATTCCTTTTACTTTTTATCAAATCCCAGAGATTTCCTGCTCTGCTCTGCTTTCTCTCATCTCCCTAACCTATTACCAATGAATTTCACTTAACCCCCTACATCTTCCCCCTTGATTCTGATGTATTAAACAAGTGGTAAAACTAGGTTCACTCTCCCAGCTGGGAGCATGCCCACACCTTTCTTCTCCCTCAGGCATGTACCTCCTAAAACTCTAAGGGTCCCCACAAGACTTGCAACCAGGGGAGCAATGGGCAGCAGCAGATCATACTGGGCTGACCCCTGGAACCTGTCTCCAAGGCTCCCTTTTCTCTGACTTCCCAGTGAACCAAAGCAGCCCTGCTTAGGCTTTCTCCAGTTGCTTCTTCTATGCTAAGCCTTCCTTGTTTCACTGTCCCCAGCTTTAATAAACATACACTCAAAATAAAAATAAACTGCAGTTTTCTGGAGCATTTTCTCAATCCACTGAGATTTTGCTTCCTGGCAACTGTCGTCAGTTTGGCTCAAATAAAGTCATAAAAATTCTTACAGGTTTGGACATTTCTTACCTCGACATAACACTTTACTGAATCTATGGAACCTTCCAGGGCACATGGACTAGGGCCTGCCTCTGGAACATCCCTTCAGATATTATTAATACCATTAAAATTTTCCAGAAAACTCAAGCCTTAAGTAAACAACGGAAATGAACACCTCAAAAATAGAATCAGCAATCAACATGTGCTAAAGACTACTTAAAAAGCTATAAAACAAAATTCAATTAGGATCCCATTCATATGCACTCAGTAACTGGGGGAGAAAAAGGATGTCCTTGTAAAGCTATCATATAGCAAAGCCCTGACACATACAAACATCTCTTTCAAGTTAGCACTCACTACGCAAGATTTAAAAGTATTCCTAGTTGGTGTTGAATGATATAATTAACCTCTTAGCTCTTGTTTTCAAGTTAACACTTAGAAAGATTGGATTTATTTACATTGAATTTTTACATTTTGTGAAATGATAAAAAGTCACAAGCATGTAGATTTACAGAAAGCAGAAATACAATCTCCTACCCAACTTGCCTTTTCTCTATAGCTCTAAAATCTATTTACAGATATTCCAATTCTCCATACTATAGCCAGTATAGAGACAAATTCAGAAATGCATATTAATTTAGGTGAAGGAATGATTGAGCCTATTTATTAAGATTAAATATTAATAGTAATAATTATATAATACTGACACTACTATAAAGGTTATCATCTATTATAAATACAAAATTTATAGGTGCATTTTATTAGTTGTCATTCATTATGTTTTTAAATGCATCAATCAAACGGAACCCTTTGTTTATTCTGTGTACTGGAAAAACTCAATCTTCTATTTATACATTTCATTTCCTAGTATGTACAATCAAAGAAATTAAATAGAATTGTTGTTAATAAAAACAACAATCACAACCTAGCCGGTTTTGCTCAGTGGTTAGAGCGTTGTTTCAGACTGGAGGGTCCCGGGTTCGATTCCAGCGAAGGGCACCTGCTGTACCTTGGTTGCAGGCTCAATCCCCTGCCCTGGTTGGGGCTCATGAAGGAGGCAACCAATCGACGTGTCTGTTTCACATCGATGTTTCTTTCTCCCTCTCTCTCTCTCCTCCTCCCACTCTCTCTGAAAAGGAACAGAAATAAATATCCTCTGGTGGGGATTAAACAAAAAAAACCACACAGTGCCCCGCCGGGTGTGGCTCAGCAGTTGAGCGTCAGCCTAGGATCTAGGTGATTGGGGTTCGATTCCCGGTCAGGGCACATGCCCGGGTTGTGGGCTTGATCAATGACTCTCTCATCATTGATGTTTCTGTCTCTCTCTCCCTCTCCTTTCCTCTCTCCGAAATCAATAAAGATATATTTAAAAAACAAACAAACAAAAAAAAAACACACAAAACAATCACATAATCAGAACTTGCCTGAAATTACTAATTCCTTATGACTTAATTATGGTAAACAAAACATTTTCATAATACTTTTATGTATGTTATATTTCAATAAAATGGTTAAAAAATGCAATTACCCATAATTCAGAAAAAGTACTGTCAATAAGTATATCTAAATTATTATTATTATTATTATTTTTTTTTTTTAATCCTCACCTGAGGATAGTTTTTCCATTGCTTTTCAAAGAGAGTGGAAGGAAGAGAGATAGAAAAACATCAATGTGAGAGAGACACATTGACTGGCTGCCTCCCACACAAGCCCCAACCAAAGCTGGGGATCAAGCCTACAACTGAAGTTTGTGCCCTTGGCCAGAATCGGACCCGGCAATCTGAGGGCCAACACTCTAACCAATGAGCCAAACCAGCTAGGGCTGAATTATTTTTTAAATAAATTGAGAAAAGAAGTAATTCAAATGTCTTAAAGGTGTCAGAAATTTAAATTTAATCACAAAGTTCACAAAATATGAGTGACAGTACATTAAGAGGCACAGGTGAAAACAAATTTTAAGAAGTATAACTGTGTGAGAATAATAGATTTTCTTGCTAAATCAATGAGTACTCACCCCTTGGAGCCCTTGGAACTGAATTGAAGGTTGAAAAGGAATTAAATTCTGTTAAAAGAAATAAAAGAAACAAATAGGTTAAACTTGATTATTGTGAAACAGAATTAAATGTTTAAACTTTAAATCTGTGCATTTGGTCAGTGTTATAGTCTGTGAAAATACCTTTTCATTATATTAGGCTTACATGTCATTTTATTAAGATGCCTTAATAAACAGTAGCGCACTATTGACACTTCTCTGAATCATACAATCAAAGGTATCTTTCGGCAGTATAGCTAATCAGGTTTTTGAAAATGATCGATATGATTTGGCAAAAATATGATTAGTATACTAATTCAATTTTACACTTAAAAACATACTCTTGCTTAGTTTCTTCATATGTTTTTAAAAGGGGTGGAGATACGAAAGAGATAATTGGAGGAACTTTGCAAAACCCTAACAGGATACTAGAAATATAAAATTAAAGAAATACTTAAAAATTAAAGAAATATAAAATTAACATATTTGAGATTGAACTATGGTTTCTATTTTCTCACGTTTTACCAGAGATTAGTTTTTAGTTAAGGGTCAAATAGGTTACCAATTTTCTCACAGGATTCTCACTAATAGAATGCTATAATTTCTAGAACAATATTTTGTTTTATTATGAGCTCTCATAGCTTTAATATTTTAAGAAAAGCTAAAACTGTAAATATCTACCATAGCCTCAGGCATGATTTCCTATACCTAAAGTTACTGGTATGTTTTTCTATGGGAATGCTTTTCCAAATTGTTAACAGAAATTCACAGGGAAATCAGATATGGGTAACATTTAATTATAACATATCAGACTATAAACTATTCTTCACACCCTTATATCCAAATCCAATGCACAAAAACAGAAACAGTGGTTTCTGTTCTCATCTTGATCTCCAATAAAAATACAGAGGCAGGTGCCCATGTGCCCCTCCCTTCAACCACTGCACATTGCCTACTACTTTCAGTTACTTTCCAAAACTTCTCTGCAGATTTAAAAGTTTATTTATCAGGATTACAATAAACTAAAGAGAAAGAAGGATGAATACTTCTTAAAAGATAGGTCATCTGGATATAAAAGCACATGGTAACATGAACCATTCTATTATTATTTATATAAATGGATAAACATCTTTAGAAAAACATTATAATAGATACTATTGTCATTGTTTTACCACCCTAAAATGATCATTTAACTTTAATCAGCAGGCTCAAAGTACTACTTGTAACAAATTTCTTTCTTGGTGTGTGAGAAGTGGGTTTTCTAAAAAGGGAAGATAAAAATATAATGGTTGAAATTTTAAAATAATTTTTAGTAGCGATTCATTTTAATTCATGGTCTTTATGAAAATATAAAATGTAGATTTAATGCTAGGATTTCCTTATAGAGAGAAAACCCTACCCAAACCTACCTTCCATAGCTAGACTTCTTACTGAACTAATGGCAACGTGCCTGTAGAAGCACAGAAGAGCCCTCTCTTCCTGTGGAAGTAAGGTGGCCCTACAATTTGGGTAACACAGGTACAGGCTTCAGTTTTAATAAATTTTCCATCATCCCTGCCTCCTGGCTTCCCTTCAAATTGCAAACATTGAACATCTCTGAGGCTGGTTACACTCACCTCCCCTTACTCCTTATAACGCAGAAGCTGTGTTCAGCTCACCAATGAAATTTGAAATTCTCTATTAAGTTCATCTATTCTTCCTGGTCAAATAAATGCTAATTTTTCTCAATTTTCAAGTTGTTCACTTGTCCACTGGCTATCACTGTTTTCTTTACATTTAGGGACACCAGCCCTCCTAGCTCTTAGATCATGTCTTTCATTTCAAAAGCTAGTACCTTTCCCTTTCCTCTTTATAGATCCACTCCCTCCTGGAGGCTCACCTTGTCTGCTAGGGAATGACTCTGCATCTCTTTTCTATTCCTCAACTTGCATCTCTCCATGATAACTGCCTAAAACATTATGCATTAGAAATTCTCAATGACAGCAAAACTGGAAAACATTAAACCACCCTACCTTACCCCCTAAACTGGAACCTCTTTCCTACTTTTTTAATCAAGGCTACTTCTATCTTTTTGGTTCTCTAGATTCACAACCTTACATTTAATTTATAGTCTCCTCTCTCACCAACCCCACCATATTCTATTAGTCAACTGGAGGCCACTAGAATCACAGAATTCTGAATCCAGAGATAATATAATTAATGCCCATCCCCCACAGGCAATGTGCCCTATTTCTAACTAACCTGGGACCAGAACCCAGGACTCAATCCTCTGATTTTGCTATGCTGCTTTTCTTCTACTACCTTGTGCTCCACACACATCTGCTATGGGAGATTCAAGAGTGTGGGGGCCTATTCCTTCATGCCAGAGAGTTCACATTTTAGTTGGGGAACATTAGAGAATTATTAAATACTAAGCTAAGTACTACCAGGAGGTGTAGTAAGAACTATCAAAAAGGAGAGAAGAGTATAGGTTAGAAAATATACTAAAAAAGCCAAAGGTCTTGCGGAAAAGATGGATCTTGGATAGCAATTTAGAAAATACAAACTCCAGGGAGAAGTGCCCTGCCTGAACAGAAAAGCAAGGAGACAGGAATGAGTACTACTATGGGGGTAGAGGACAAGTGTCTGTGTGCGTACAGAGTTCTTCATACTTGAAACACTACACAAAGGATAAGAATTGGGCCTGGAAATCCCTGTCTAATCTTTCCTTGGGCTCAAAATTTGTCTTCAGTTTTCGCTTCTACCCACTACAGAATAAATAGAATGGGCAGTAATTTAAATTTCAGACCTCTGGGATTTTCAAAAGGTTCATCACCCTGTGAAATAACCCTACCCTAATCTCCTCCATTACCCCTTCAGGCAGGGCCTTTGACTTGATAAACAATCCGAGGCTCTTCTAATTTTTGGAACAAGAAAGCAAGTTGTTGAAAGAAGTATTTCAGGGAAAGTAGCTCCTTCAGTCATATGTAGGAAAGATGGAGATAGACGGACTATGGCTAGGGCAAAGGATTAGAGATCAGCCCCAGGGGATACTTTATTTATAAATACTCTGATGATAAGGGCCTAAATTAGTATGACTTCATCTGGAGCAAACAGGAGTTGGTGGAATGAGCAGACATTCCCAAGAAAGAATGATAAAATGTGGTGAAAGCTTGACTACCAGGCACTAAAGAAAAATGAAGCAAAGGTGGTTCCAGGGCTCCCAACCATCATCTCTGGCCAGTCGGCCCCAAACTTCCTCAAATTAAGCTCCTAGTCTCTACTTTGAAAGCCTCTGCCTATTTCAGGCCACTATCACCAAGCACCTAGATAAAGGCCTTCCTCCCTTCCTTCAATTCCTTCCAAATGCTGCTCATCATTCAAATAGCTAGCAGAAGCTCTCTCAGACACCACTTGGAGCATGTTACACAGCCTGCAGTGGGTTCCATCAAAGCAAAGCAAACTCCTCCACATAGAAAACAGACCAGCCTTCTACAGGACCAACCAATTTCATCCTATACTTCCTCCAAACTGTGGCTCAGCCATGTTAACCTTTTTGTCTGTTTTGTGAACATTTTCTTCTCTATTATTCTAACTCCTTCCTGTTCCTTCAACCTGGCATACCTTCCCAAATACATTTTGCCAATCCATGTTAATCACTCACTTAACATTCAGGTTTAAGATTAATTTCCCCAGCTAGGCCTTCCTTTGGATATAGCAGAAATGAAAGACTCAATGTGTTTAATAACACAAGGCAGGTAAATGTGAGACAGGGAGTAAAGCAACAAGTAGTAGTGAACACCTAAAGAATAAATGTCCAACCTAGAAAGGATTCAAAATTTTTAACAGTTAAATCTTCTTCAGGCCAAACAAAACACTGCTATCACCATTTTGCTAATTCTGACTTATGCCCACTTTGAGTTAACTCCTGTTAGCTGTTGTTTTTCCAGATGCCTGTGTCTACGACGACACTACTACATTGGGGGGTATATTTGTTCATAGGTTGTCTTACTCCTAGTTGTTATGATACAGAGGAGCACATATTTAGCTTACAAGTATTTATCTGCATTATGCTCAGCTAAAAAAATAAAATTATTTGGCCATGTTTTCTTTATATATGGGTACACACTATACACATTATATACCTTACAGATTACTATTCAGGGTTGTATAGACGAAAAAGTACAACTATGCTTTACATCAACTTAGAAACTTTCAAGAGTAATTTTGACTTTATCCAGTTTTTTGCCTTATCACTGAATTTAGAACCTAACCTCTTGATATGCTTATCATTCTATTTGTATTGCTTGATTACTCAACAAAAATGATAATTTCTGTTAACATAGTTTTGTAATGCACAGAGCATTTTTATACCCATTGTCTCAAGTGAACCTCCTAAAACCAGCCCTGGGTGGTAAGAACGCATCATTAGTTCTCATTTCAGAGGAAGAGATAAATGAGTCTCCAGTAGGTAGTGTGTTGCTTGGGATCATCAAGCTAGTGATTAGCAGAGCTGGACCTTAAACCCAGCCACCTGAATCTCAAATACAGAACCCTTTCCTTTTCTTCCCTCTATAGCAAATTACCTTGTAGTGATGAACATTTAAATACCCATAAATGCTCATTCAGTTCTTCTGGCATTTTGTTTCCAAAGAAAACTAATTTCATAAAATCATTACAATTTCCAAAGTCCGGTTTCTGGTTTAAAATAATAGGTTTTGGTTTTTTTGCTATAAGGACAATGTATAATAAATATTTGTGCTGGCATTTTTCATTTAAAAAATAATAAACCCTTATCTATGGACTAATTGTGGGTACTTATCTAAACTGGAAAACCTAAGATCACTGTTACTAAAAAAACTCCTTTAAGATATCTGACAACCTAGAAGAGAAAAATACATAAGAGAACCTCAAATGCTTTATTGATTTTAATCCCAATTTTAGATTTTAAAAGATGCAAAAGGCAGCTAGGACTCTATATCACTTATTATGCATCTGACCACTATGTTAATGGGATAGCTACCAGGAATAAGTTCTAAAAGTCAAAATAA